TACACCCCTAAACCCTAATCCCTAAAACCCTAAACTATCGTAAGCCGCCATATTCCGAGCCTCAAACCCCAGCCACCAGAGCCAGGTTCAGCTGACGAAATCTTCTAAGCGGCGCACCGGCATTGCCGAGGGATTAAGAAAATTCTGGGGAGATAGCAAAGGGTACTTCAACAGCGTTTGTCTCTGTAGATCTCCATACTGCTTTTTAATACCTGTCTTATCAAGTGTTCATGTTCCCCGGTTCTAATATTCTTGAGAGGACTGTACTTTTGTGGGCTTAGTAGTAGAGTCTGCAAATTGGTTGCGCATGCTCGTGTTCTAATCTCATCGTTGACATGTTGGGACTCCTGCCGTTGTTGACTTCGCGAATGGCATCAGCACGATTTTTCAAATCAAACTGAACTGTACTTGAAACGGATTTGCTTCCGCAACATTCCTCGGCAATGCATTTTCCGGGTCATTTTCCCATGGGCCAGTGATTATGCAGCCCTTTTCCAATTTTCGTGCCGGCACGTGTTCGAACCATGGAACATGGAAGCGGGCCGTTTGAAGGTAGGAGGCATGCCACGCCCGGCGCGTGGTTTGGTTTAGGTCACTCTTAGCTCTAAGTACGCCTCTTTCAATATTCGAGACAATCAATCCCTTTTAGCTAGCTCAGACCGTACATGTCAGCACAAGCCTTCATCCATCTACCAAAGGCCTTGCCCTTTCTCTTGGGTTCAGCACCTCGGATTGCTAGAAACCATACCCACTCCAAACTTGGCGTTGAGAGTATGCACGACGATTTTCTGTAGTCAAGAGCGATGCTGACACTGTTTAGGGCTCGGGGCGTAAGTTTTACGATGCATACTGCCAAGCTCCAGGAATATCCTTGAAAGATCTACAGCAATCCTGCCGATGTTAACTCGATCGAGCCCGCTGAAGTGCACGGCTTGATTGCACCAACGGCACAGACAAAGCCCGAAACCCTAAGCCCATCTTTGCGCCGGGCGAGCTGTTTCAGTTTGGCGTCCTGTACAGACACTGCGATTTCTTTTCAGCTTCCTGGGGGCCATTGCTCCCGAAAGCTGAGAGAACTCCTCGTGCTTGGGGATAAGGGTTTGCCTTGAAAGCTCTTGATTGGGTGAGTGTGAAGTAGAGTCGCTAGTCTGAGCAAGACGGCATATTCCCTCCGTATCGGAATGCATATAATCATCTGTGTATGTATCCATGCATGCGGTATGGATGTGGTGTGATCCTGGATTGGGATGACAACTTACACCTAGCATGACATCCTGCTGGCATGTCGGTGTATTTATCTGCGGAAGAACCTACATGTCTATCACCCTATAAACCCTAAACCCCAAAACCCTAAACCCTAAACCCCTAAACCCTAAACCCTAAACCATCTGTAGGAACATCCGCTTAAACATATATACATATACACACATGCATCTGTCAGAGTTTGTCCTCGAACCGCTTTGTTGCACTGCCGGTCTTGATTCATTGAACGCACGGAATCTTCCCGGAGCGCCTTCGTAATTATCGGTTATGGTTGCTTGGTGTGTGTATGTGTGTTTCTTTACTGCGCAGAGAAAGGAACCTCCCAAAAGCCTACCAACCCAGACTCAAAGCCTATAAATCTATGCCGCGCGATCTTTGATGCCATCTTCGGTACGCACGAAGACATCGATAAACCTCAGCTAGCTTTTTGAAACCCAAACCCTAAACTCTATTTGAGGACTCTGCAGGTATGTGCCAAAGGCAACACATCCCCGCGGGCACCGACCCTTGCGTTCGGCTGCAGCTCCCAAGGGGCTGGCATTACAAGTCCATGGCCTGGGCTTTCTGTTGTGCTTTGGTTTTTGGATTGGATTCGTGCGTACCCTAAGAGTTCACTGTGGAGATTCAATCTAGCAGCTGTGAGTTGAGTTGGCGCTAGGATTGGCAGTGTGGTATACGAGGATCCAGTTCGGGGCACAAGCTGTGTATCGACGCGCTTAAGAAGGCACGGTGTCTTTGCGGATTCGGAAACGTAAGATGAAAGTAAGTTTGATACAGCTCATTATTGTTGTGCAGTGAATCCCTCGTAATTAGAACCTCAATGTTAATTTGCTACCATTTGCTATTGACGGCGATGACTACTAGCATGACTATCACCTGTCAAGTACGGCACTTGCGACAGTGCTCTGACACAATAAGCATACATATGTGAGAGAGAGTACAGATATAGACATATACGTGCACACACACACACGCATAGTTTAAGTTCAAGCTCCTTGTCTTGCTCAGATTGCCCGAGCCAGTCATGTGGGCTTAGGGATATCCAGCCGTCGAGCATCACCGCGGGGAAAAACAACACCCGATTCTTGTCAGCAAGTTTTATAGGATGTGGGTCTTGCAAATCTAGAGCTCCTTGGAAATGAAAAGGGGCCGAGACCCAACAAAAACACATCGGGCACAACGCCTACTTAAACCCGAAAGCATTGACCTAGACCCTAAAACCACTAGACAGTCTAAAAGCTACATCCAAATTTGCTGGAGAATCGAAAAGACAGGCGGGAACTCCCCTGCCCTGGAGGCTCAGGGCACTCAGAACCCAACCATAGCTCCGCTCAGGCACACGTAGTTGGCATTTCCGTCCACACATCAGTCAGCTCCCTCTGGCTGCGATGTTCATCTGACTGCAGATTCCCAGATCAGAAGGCATGGTAGCGGCCCAACCTTCTCGTGAGCAAGTCCTGAAACTTTCTCCTGTGATATCCTTCGATAGCCATAGACTACCACTACGGCTGAAGGATGCTGATGGATGTCGTAACTAATAGATAGTACTTTATACGGATGTATGTCCTCTCAGATCCCCAAAGGAACCCTTGAAAGGCCACATGGGCCCTTCAAGTCGCAGAAAAGCGCGCATCCGGAAACCTTTCGAGCCCCAGCAGCTGCAGTGTGCGGTACAAAAGCCCGTATCTAAACGGTCGGGGGCTGCATATCTCTATGTACATACATGTGTATATATATATATATATGTATGTATGCCTGCATGGATGTATGTATGTACATATGTATGTATGTATGTATGTATGTATGTATGTATGTATGTATGTATGTATGTAGGTATGTATGTATTTATGTATGTATACATAGGGTTGCTTGCGCCGTCCATATTCACTTGGTCGTTCATGTCGTCACTTATTTTTCGTTAACCGTCCAGTATGTCGTTTTATCGTATTTTCGGAACAGGAGACTAGTAAGTAACAGCCAGCTCCTATTATCCTTCCAGCATACTCACGTCAGGGTCCGTGCATCCGCATAGTATATACTTCGGCTTTAGAGTGGCCCCTTTTAGTACTTGCAGGCCAAAGTATATAATACTATTTGGGCACATGGGCCCTTAGGGCTCTGCAGCTCTGTCAGGGCTGCAGCTGCCTTCCAGACTACGCACTGCACCCAAAGGGGCTTCCCAGGCTGGTGGGAGGGCTTTCGGGTTCGAGGTTAAGGCTCTAGAAGGGTGAGCAGGAATCCAGGAAGCCAGGTCCCCGAGCGTCCCTAAACCCTAAACCCTAAACCCTAAACTCTAAACCCTAAACCCTAAACCCTAGCACTGCTTGCCCACACCGTAAGGCCGATCACCTTAATTAGGCCGGGTTTCCTAGACTCTGATTCTCGAAGACCGTCGGATTCCTGCCGTTGGTCAGTGGAGAAATGTTCTTGCCCGCACAAAATTATCTGACTCGCCTTGTGGCTTAGTGAGATTGCAACAACGGCATTCAATCAGTATTTGTCTTCATGATGTTCCTGCGGATATTGCTGCATTGATGCTTCCATGTTTCTAAGGCATGCAGGGGGCATCAAATGCCCAAGCATCAATGAAACACTATGTCCCTAAACCCCTCGGCCCTCCGTCCGTCACTCCATATGCCCCTCAGAAGTGTCGAACCCCACACATTTAACCTAAACCCAAGTTGTGCAAGAACCTGTAATAAAGAGCTCGAGCATTTAGTACGTCTATCCCCTTATAGTCCTTTCATAACTCTACTCTAATGTCCCCCCAATCCCACACTCTCCATTGTGTTTCCGGTTTTTGGGTAACTTTTGGTGAGCCCAATTGTAAAGCTGGTCAGACACAAACAGGAACTACAATGGAGACACGACATATAAATACACACACACACACACACACACATGTAGGAGCCTTCTTCAGGCCCCAGCGGTAGGGGAAATTCTTTACTCGGTCACGAAGCTCTCATCCGCCTCAGGTCCGAGTTTCTTCGAAGCAGGACCCAGGGTTTAGGGTCTGAGGGTTCTGGAGGTTTAGGGTTTAGGGGTCACCTACGGGGCTGCTGGCATAGGGTCTTAGATGATCAGAAGAGGGTTGTGGGGTATGTTGTAGTATGCTCAGAGCAAGGCACCTAAGGAATAGGCACTCAAATTCGTATGGTCGTTACGACTAATGCAACCTTTGTATAAGCACAAGAGGTTAACTTCTCATGAGATTGAGAAGGCGAGAACAACATTGATCGTAACATATTTCGGTGGCAGTAAACTTGCTGTCGATGATATGGGCAACAGCAGGAGTGACGACAAACGGTGGTAGCCCTGTTCAGTGTGAACATTGCTTCGATCGTCTTTAACCAAATATTTTCAAACATATTCGGGTGCGGCTGCCTACTGTTATAGAAATATCGCCAACACACAAACGGCCGAAAACCGAGGCACTTGACCTTCATCCCCAAACCAGGACCACTCCATCCAAGAAGCTGGTTAGTTCACCTTCAACATTTTGGGGTATAGCAGTTCTCATATCGGATCCTGATTCAGTTTTATATAGGGTACCTTATATGAATCCTCATGTTTTGGTGTTACATCGCCAGGGTTTCTTAATCAAGCTCCTACATTATATTAGACTCTGCCACAATCAAAAGCAAATCCCTTGTTTGTGCTGGGTAACACATCCCTGCAAGCACCCCCAAAGAAGCCAGGGACCAAAACCAGATATGTACGGCCCTTCATCGTAGTTTAAGGTTTAGGGTTCAGGGCGAGCCCTATTCTAGACTCAGAACCCAAACTCTAGGCCAAGTCCCAGGACCAAAACCATCCCCGTGATCGAAGGGGAAGACTTGCAGACCATGCGAAGGGCCCTTGGCCCAATCACACATTGCAGCTGGCTGACATGCACCCTAGGTGTCCATGTGCCCAAATTTACTCTGGCCTCAAATAAGTAGTCCGTTTATATGCACTTCAAGGCTGTACTTTGGCAGTAGTTCCGATATAGGCGCTTTAGAAATATCCATTGGCCTTGAAGTGGTCTTGTTCTTTGGGCATTTCAAGGCCAAAGTATATGCTATTTTGGAACATGGACCCTTAGGGGCATTTAGGGTTCGGTTCATGACTGAGGATCTCGGCTGTAGGGTTTGGGGTTTAGGGTTTAATGGTTTGGCTTTAGGCTTGGGGTTTGGGTTTGGGCTATTGAGTTTAGGGTTTGGGATTCCAGGTGAGGCTTTATGAGGGTTTGGAGTCTGAGACAACAAGGCCCAACTCCGAAAAGCAAGAAATTTAGGGGCCTAAATAAGTAATTACTTGGGGGGTTCCTTATTACAATTATAGTATAATGGCCCGCAAAACCTATATTCGGCCCCTACATTATGCCAAGCTCTGAACTCTGAGCCAACGCAAAAGAAGCCCTCACAAGAGCGGTGCCTTGTAAGTGGTCCGTAACATACTGACCCCTAAACCTTCGGAACGAGTCGTTTGGTACAGTTATTGACGAAAGCCCCCCAACAAATTGACGAAACCTCTCGTTCCCGTCCGTACCCTGAGCTCAGAGGCCTGTGAGCTGGGACGCGAGGTGCTGGACATCGCGGCGCGGTTCATGAGGTCGGCTTAGGTTTACTCAGGGCTCCTTAGAATCTTCGAGGGTTTAGGGTGGGTTCCTTAGAGCCTTCGAGGGTTATGAGGACGAGGGTCGAGGAACTCTGAACCCTAAACCCTAATCTGAAGACCTCCTCGGGGTATGCTATCGAATGTAATGCAACGCGGTATGGCGCGGTGAGCAAGGAGTAAACTCCAGGGGTTTGGGGACTGAGGGTTTAGGTGTCAGCGTCTAGAAGTTCGAGTTCACAACATAAAAGCTGTAAGATACAGGTGCAGGGAATCAGTTTGGGACGATGTTCGCAGCTGCTTGCTTCTGCGGCCTAGGTGCCAGGATGTCCCACACATTGGGTTTAGCGTCGATGTGACAGTCCCAATTTCTGAGGCGGCCACATCGAGTTTGGGCAGTGGGATGCCGCCGAGTAGAATGCTGGAACTCAGAGCGCACAGGAGATCCCCTGCAAGCCCAACGCTCCCTACGTAGCTCAGACTTCTGTTCGAAGCTCAGAGGAAGCCTTATATTGCTGCCGGAATGACGGGGTGTAGCCTAGTGTTTGACGAGCTCTCTCCAACATGAGCCTAGAAGGAACCCGATCGAGGTGCTGAGGGCGAACGTTCCTTCAGCACCCATTGGTGTTGCTCCTTGTTTTGTCGTTGAGTCGGTCATGGCATGTGCACGTGCTCGCACTTTTCTCTCTACCTGTTTATCTCGCTCTTGGGGTCTCTCTCTCTCAATCTCGCTCTCTCTCTCTCTCTCCCTCCCTCTCCCTCACACACAGACTTCGGCCGGGCTCTTGTTCTGCACGAATCCTAAATGCCAAATCCAGTCCCCTTTCAGGGCAGGCGTCACTGGCGATGAAATCGACAGAGTCGGGAGCCCACCGCATTGAGCTTTGTACGGTTTGAGGGAATTTAAGGGGTATAGGGTTTGGGGCAGTTTAGGGTTCTAGGGTTTGGGGGTTTTAGAGGTTAGGGTTTTTCGTTCGGAGTTTGAGGGAACATCGATTGTCGACTCAGGACGTAGGGCATTAAACACAGGGCTTGGATTCTTGTGGGTTTGTGGTGTTGTGAATGCAGGGCGATGAACGTCTTACAGCGCTTGGAGACACGACTCTTGTCCTGAAGCTCTTGTCAGGTCCTTAATGCAAGTAGGCATGCAAGTCAGTCCCTCACAGTGAGGACCGGTTAAATGCCAACACGAGCCCCAAGCTCCCGTTGATAATATTGTAGGGGCAGGGAAGTTAGCTGATCGATCAGGAACTTCGTAAACCAAGGGCAGGGAAACCCCTAAACCCGCAACTCAACCCTAAACCCTAAACCCTAAACCCTAAACCCTAAACCCTAAACCCTAAACCCTAAACCCTAAGCCCTAAGCCCAAGCCCTGAACCGCAAACCATAAACCCTAAATCCAACCGCCTCTGTGGCTCAGGCTCAGGCTGAGGTTGCGCCTGGAGACATAGTTTAGAGCCCAGCAGAGCGAGCCCGTCAGGAAGTCACGGTTAAGGCATCAGGGCTGCTGGGCCTCTAGAAAACTTAGGTGTCCCCTGATAGAACTCTGATTCCTCAAATGTCAGAAGTGAGCCGGTAGATAGAGTCGCACTTTCAAGCCCCAGCTGGCAGTGGAGCCCAAGATGATCTTCAAGCCGAAGCCGACATCGAGTTTCTACCTCAGCAGCCTGGTGCTGTACGGCGTGCTAGCAAATAACAATGCAGACAGCCATGGAGACCACCAATGGCCATGATAAAAAAGACAAAAAGGACGGGCTGGGAAGGGCGGCTGATCATCAAAAGAGAGATACTTTAACCAGGATAGGTCTCAGCTTGCTTGCAGCGGTTCAGAAGACATGAGAGCCCCAGTTCATTAGCTTCAAAATCCAGCTGACGATCTCAAGCTGCTCAGTAAGATGTTTAAAACGATGTTGTTTGCAGAGACATAAGCACAGTACAGTTTATAGCATTATTCCGATTACATCCTTACTTGTCACCTACTTACTGCATGCCCTGATCCTCCCAGCATTCGCAAGGCTCGTCATTGTAAGTGCCCACAGTAGTAGGGGATCCTCATCCACTTTCAGCTGACTTGCAGAGCCTCCTTGGACGGTAACAAGGCCAACTAAAGAACTAGCACAAGAGTGTAAAAAAAAAACGTAGAGTTTCGGATCTTCACTGCAAGGGCTAAGCCTTCGAATTGAAAAGCTTCTAGATATCAGTCGGCGTTCAGGTTATGGGCCTTTGCAAGCGCTTTGAAGAGCTTTTTCAGGGATTCCATCCACAGCAGTTCTATACGGATTCTACAAAGGTTCCAAAAAGCCTCGCACGCACCTTGCAAAAGCGTCCGTGACACGTCCATCACCAAAGCCCCCGAAGCCGATATCTCAGACCCCTACTCATTTGAGCCGGCAGGAGAAGAAAGAGAAAAAGGCCGCGTGTCAAACCTGTCCTGCCCGAAATATCACGGCTTCATGGCTTCTGCCAGAAACTTCGCCCGCTACCCCTAACTACAGGGAATGGCGGAGCTTGAGGACTTGCCTCTCAGAGATGTGAGAAACCCTGCGAGGAGAAAAAGGAAAAGAAGGAGAAACCGGAGACGGCTGAAAATGGCGACGCTGCTAAGAAGGAGAAGAAGGATAAAGGGGAGGCTCCCTGTCTTCGTGGCTTGAAGTTTATTGGAATCAGGGGTGAACTTGTGCGTAAAGCCCAAACCCCAATCCTTCCTCACCCAAATCAAAGCATGAACTGCGTACGCCCTGTACAAGATTATCCGAGCCCGTGGGAAGGACCTTTCAGGTTAAGTGAGGTTGGTACCTCTCCAGACCTTGTCGGTTTTAGGGTTTATGGAGATGAAAACTCCAAAATGTGTAGCATGATTCTCTAAACTCCGTTGACCTCAACACAATATTGAAACCAGAGATCAAAAGAAAGAAAAGAGCAGGCTTCCGACACCCCAAAGCCGCAGCCAGTTCACAGAATACTTGATACTGCCCCTTTACTTTAGACCCAAACCTCGCACCCGGCTGGCCCCAGCCAAACTCTTGCTGATAGGGTAAGGAGAAGAAGGAGAAGAAGGATAAAAAGGACAAGAAAGAAAAGAAAGATGCTCGGCTCCCCATGTTGTCTTTTTTCTTTAACCTGGGGTTAGGGAGCTTCTCCATCCTGTCAGTGTCCCGGTTGCAAGAGTCACTTCTTTCGTGGGCATCCTCTGTTTCGAAAAGCCTGACAAACTTCATGGCAATCTTTGTGCGTGACCTTGGGTTTGACAATCTCACTTGGCAAGTCGTTATTCTGCGTTCCGCAGAAGACTGAGGACAAGAAGGACAAAGCCAACAAAGAGCCCAAGGAGAAGAAAGACAAGAAGGACAAGAAAGATAAGAAGGAACGAAAAGAGAAGAGGAAGCTGCGGAAGGAGCAGAAGCTCAATCAGACGCCCGGCTTAATCTGATTGTATATCGAGGTTTTTGTCAGTGCCATCTTCTTGGGTGTGGAGTCCTGGCTTCTACCGATCGTCGGATGCAATTCAATGTGTGTTTAGGGTTTAGATTTTAGGGTTTAGGGTGTATGCGCGCATGTGTTTGTGTTTGGCGACCTAACGTTATTCCATAACGTGTCTCGAGGAGGCTTGATGGGTTATATGAGGCTTAATATAGAAGCTGAACAATTGATATCTCCATCCCCTTAGAGTCCGTAGTGGAATCACAATATAATATAACCGCCCCCCCAAAAAATCAGTTCCAAATCCTGAGGTCCCTAAAACAAGCTCCGAGACTCGAAGCCTTAAGCCCCGAAGAATGATAGGTTCCCAGTAGTACCACTGTCGTCCACTCTTTTTGTTGAGGCTTTCTCATTAAAACTGCATAGCAGGAAAAGGGTACCCTTGTTACCCTGAGCTCTAAACCCGAAACCCTAAACCGTAGAACCTACACGCCAAACCCACAAACCCTCAGAAAGGGGATGCTGGGGAACCCGGCATCGTCTGAACCGGTAGGCTGGCTGATCAGCGGAAGAAGGCTCACAAGATCGGGCTGCATCCTGACCGCATCACAACTTGCAGGGTCCGTTGTTTTTGGGCGGGGGGGTTTAGGGTGTATGAGGGGTTTGGGGGGGGGGGGGGGGTGAAGCCTAGCCAATGAATTGGGACTGAAGCCGGCTTACTGAGAGGCTTACTTACTATGTTGAGCCTCCTGATAAGTCTTACAATTGCCGCCGAACCCTATCAAGTGTCTTTGGGCTGTGTCTTGGTGCTGCGCAGTTGTAATCCGGAGTTCCGAACTGGGCGCTAAGAACGGCTTGAAATTAGGCAGGCACTATCGTTCGCTATGAGCTCATTAGTCCGGGAACACAATCCCAGGTGAAGCCAGGGAGTGTGGGTCCGTCTCGTAGCGCCGACATCACGTACAACATATAAGGCATGCCTTGGTGTGATTTGCTGCTGCACCTGGAGGTCGCAGAATCCCGATTCCATGATTCTGAGTTTTCGCCATACCCCGTCCCAGAAATTTTCCTAAACAGATCTTATTTCTAAGCCTGTCATGGCAGGAAAGGCTCGAAGATGCTAGCATCCAAGAAGCGGAAAGCGCCAGCGCAGTCACAGACCGAACTGAAGGCTCGGAAGGGAGGGAGGGCGCACCCTTTTCTTGAAGGAGTCGTTCTGGATTCTTTCAAAAGGAAAAGGGACCGCTTAAGGGAACCCTGGCACAAATGGAACATAAGGATTCTATACTTTGTTGAGTTCATAAGGGCCCTATACGAGGGACTATGGAAACTCTGCATGTCGAAATACTTGTGTTTATGTGGTCCTGTAATTTGTAGGTGCAGGAGTTGATTGGCCGTGGGCTGGCACTGCAGTTGTCTATTCGATGCTTTGGTGGTGAAGGCATTTTCTGCGGTTTTAGAGCGTATGTTCGGGCTGTTCAGCTTATGCGAACCATGCGAGTGAAGTTGGCCATCGAGTAGAAATAGTATCCAGATGTTCTCTCGTGTTGTCCGCATCGGACGTGCGACTCATGTGACAGCGAGTGCAACTCATTTCCGGCACAAGTGGGGGAGGGCTGTTCACTTCTTTACATCGTCCCCGTAATCATTTTGAGGTTGGCTATCGCAGCTTGTAAAATTTCCTGCTATAAAATCACAACCCCCCACGCCCCCCCGCTATAGTTCCTTCAAGCCTAGAACCCTAAACGCATACCCCTAATTCCTGAACTTTTCATCTCGTAAACCCTAACAACCCGAAGCTATACTCTATGAGACGTATAACACCCTCCCAATAAATCCCTTGAAAAGCCCAAAGCCGTGACCAAGACTTGTAGAACACTTCTACAAACCGTGTGCCGATAAATGCCTTATGGGACCCCAGGGTTAAGGGCGTTAAGGGTTTAGGGTTTAGGGTTGGGCCTTACGGGACCCGTGCAGGACCCTCGCAGCTCAGAGCTTAGGCTTCGGACCAACCCGAGCCGCTGACCGAACTTGTCTCGAAGCAAGGGCTTGAAACGTCCCAAGCCTTGAACCCAAAACTCTAATAAGGGGCCCTGAATAATTAACAATACTATTTTTGGGGCTTCCTTTTCAGACCTATACTATAATGCCCCCCCCTCCAAAAAAATCAACATGTTCGACTTGTGAAGGCCCCTACATTAGACCCTAAAAGCCCCCTAACCTTGATTATTGGGATCGGCCTGAAGACGCCTTCTTGAAAGGTCCTTCTCAAGACTGAAGATGACTACGAGCCAGTGAACCGGTGGTGGGAGAGGGAGGACCCCGGGTGCTGGGTTTTGTTGGGCTTTCTTGTGTGGGGTTCCTTTTATGGGGGGGGCTTTCGGGTTGAAGGTTTCGGGTGCTTAAGGTGGCTCCTCTGGCAGTTCCTCCATGGCTTCTTGCAGGGCGCTTTGGGGCTTTAAGGTTTTGTGGACAGGCTAAACACGAAACCCCTAAAAGCCATGAGGGTGACGGGTTTCAGTGATCCAAGTTGGCGGGATTGTCGCCTTAGCACGTGGATCATCGCATCGATGAAACCACATAGAACCGTCTTCAGACCTGATACTGAACCTGAGACCTTGGACCCCAAACCTTGTTACCCTTTAAGAACCCTTGGAACCGCCCAGATCTCAGACCCCAAAATAGACCCTTGAATGTAATACGTTTTTTTTGACAAGAAGACACTGAGGTAACTGACAGATGCTAGATTTCGGGGTCTTGGGATTATGATATATGGTTCAAGCCTTATAGAACCTTTATTGAGTTCCTTAAACCCTTGACCTAAAACCCAAAACGGGGCGCCATTGCACTTGGTCAAATACGCCATGATGATCTGTGAGGATGGTGCAGAAAGCGGCAAGCGCGGTGCGAAGAAGTGGGCCGCTCGTTGCAAGCAGCCGTTCCCGAAGGGTCTATACCGGTTCTACGAGGGTGCGTTAAAGGTCTACTAGGGTTCTGCAACAGCACTTATTCAGGATTTAGGTTTTCGGCTTATGGAGTTTAGGGTGTGGGGTTTATAGGTCTAAGAACCAATACAATCTTTAGTACATAACGTACTGTAGTATTGCTGTGGGTGTCGTATGATGCACCTACTAAAGCCTGAACTCTAAACTCTCAGTATTCCGGAACTGAGGTGCGGTGCTATTTAGTTGTTTGTTGAATGTATCTGTTTCTGGCGATGTAGTCTACCGTGCTTGCAGGTGCCTTTTCTTGGTTGGATATAGCATGGTTGGTTCAAGACCACAAAGATTCCAGACAGAATGTGGCACTCGAGTTGCATCGTGTCTTGCAGCTGGGGATCATGGCCGAGAAAAGAAGCAAGCAGCGCCGAAAACGCTGCAGCCAACTGGACCACACTAAGCCCTAAACTCCTAAACCCTACTGATACCTTAAAGGCATATATAAAACCTACTGGTACCTTTATAAAGGCATATCTAAAACCTAAATCCCTACGAAGGATCAAGGGACCTTGACCTGAGCTCCTAGGAAGCCTCACAAAGACAGCCCTACATTTGCAGAGCTCCATACCACAACTCGCGGTCCCATGTCCCTTATAGGGCTCGGGATATCTAGGGGATCTTCTAATATCACTGGGCGTTTGCCTTGATATTCCAAAACTGCCACGTGGATCCGGAAAGCCACAAAAACCCTAGACACCCGAACGAACACCCTATACACCAAAAACGCCCGAACTCTTAAACCCTGCGCCCCCAAACCCCTCAACCTAGAACTCCGAAACCCTCGAACCCTTATAGTCCCTGAGCTCCCAAGCTTCGGCGCTCAGTTCGAGCTTTGTTTGCTCAGGACACCTTCGAACACCATGGTCTGCTCTTTGCACCCGATCCTTGGTATTTACAGGGCGTTAAGGGTTTCAGGGTTGATCTGGGGTTTAGGGCTTTAGTGCTGCTTTGGAGGCTTAGGGCTTTAGGGGTTTAGGGTTCAGTCTTCACCTATTCAGGCTCTGGGGTTGGGGATCCTTGGATATACATATACCGTAATTGGGTTTCTTATGATTTCTAAGTACCTGAGGCCATAGTTGCCGTACCTATAGCCCTACTTGCCAAGTCCTCTGATCCTTTAGGGCTCATCGCGTGATTTTGTCTTTCAACCCCGGCTAAGCCCATAATCACCCAAGCCGCAAATCCCCAGGCGTCCTTGCCGAAGTTTGCAGCCGAAGCCTAAGCCTTGGCTTTACTCCGAATTCGCCCCCCCCCGTCCCGAACTCAACCGAAAAGCGAACGTCTGCTGCCTGACGTTTCTAAACCGCAAAAGCAAAGCCCAAACCTTCGAAGCAAAAAAGCAAAGTAAGCCCGAAACCCTAAACCCAAGAAGCAAAGTAAACTCTTTACATGAACCTCCACGCGGTTTGAGCCCCCCTAAACCTTAAACCCTAGACCCTAAACCCTATAGACCCTAAGCCCTAAGCCCTAAACCCTAAGCCTTCCACGAAACTTAGGACTACGAACCCCACCGGGTCCCTCTGATCTACGACGGGGAGCGCGTGGAGCTGCCTCCTGAAGCTGAAGAGATCGCCTACTACTGGACCTCGGCTCTTCGTCCCTGATGTAGTATATATATATATATATATATAATGTTATGCTAGATTTTTACTGTGTTTGTTTCCGTGTTATGTTATATGACTTGACATGAAATGATATAATATGATACTGTTTTATGTTGCCATACGGTTTATCATGTCACGTATGAAGGCTACTGTGATGGTTTCGATCGAGCAATGGTCCTTGAGATGTGAGAGCATCCGGTTTTGCCTTGCGGTGTCCCGAAGGATGCACCAGATCCTCAGGTTGTCAAGCCAGTATATATGTTAGTATAGGAGCCTAAATAATTACCTATAGTATTTCGGGAGTTCCTTATCATATTTATAGTAAAGAATATCCAAAAACCCTATTCTAACTATTAAGGCCCCTACATTAGCCAAAGATGTGGGAGAGGGGGGTTGAAGAAGCAGGGTCTGGGTGGACTGGATTCAGACTTGCAATGCCTTTTGTCAGCACGAATGAATGGGGAGCAAGACCAGGACAACTCGACAAATCGATGGCTCTAGTGGCCCTCGGCTTAAAGGCCAAACCGAGTTCCAAAGCCCCAACGTCAAACTCCAGCCCCTCAGCCTCACCAAGGTCAAGGGGACACCGTACGAGACCAAGGACATTTTCATGAAGCACCATGGCTCCATGGGGCCTGTCCTCCATCAACTTTAGCAGCCTTCGTGACTGCTTCACTGCTGTGGGCTTCGACTCGAGCTGAATAGGGTGGTGAGCGCTGCTGGATACTGTCAGTAGCTCGGGACTTGTGACGACCCGAGTAATCCAGCAGCATCTTCGAAGTGGTTCCAAAAGGCCGTAATTCAGAGAGCCAACCACATAATATACTAGACATCGTAAGGGATCCTAAGTCCATATGTTGTTGATACCTACTCCAACCATAATTGAAAGAGATCCTCATCTAGAAGCCCCAGAGTCTACTGTCCAGGCACTACCCTCTACCTCCAAATCCCAACCCTGCATATGGGAACCCTAGGCCCCAAACCCTGCATCCTCAACCCTGCACCCGAAACCGTACCGAGTCGATCAGGAACTTCTGGAAGACCTTCAAAGAGGTCTTGCCGAAAGGCTCCAAGATCAAGGAGAGGGCGCTTTGAACATAGGGGCCTTAATCATGGCAGAGCAGGGCTTTGGGGTATATGATCCTCTATTCATATTATAAAATTTGTACGGAATCAGCGGGCTTTCTGAACATAGGGCTTGAGGCCCAGAGGAGAGATTGGGATAGCTCCTACAGGGTTTCGGTTCATCCTAAAACCCCCGAAGCTCAAGACCCTAAACCCTCATGGCGGTTCCAGGGCTCCCTAAACCCTAAACCCTAAACCCGAACCCTAAACCCTAAACCATAGCCCTAAACCTGATGCAAGGTTTCTTGTCTTCACGGGGCGGATCATAGAGAGATCATCGCTGAAGACGTCGGATCAACGGTCTGGCTGCCTTGAGTCTCCCAGGGTCTGAAGGTTACCTTTAAATTGCCACGGCCTTATTGTGTTTTGTAGGACCTTGATGGGTTTGGGGTTTAGAGTGCCACAGCCTATTGCATGTGTTTTGTAGGATCGTCGTATAAACCCTATATAATATCGAGTTGAAAGAAACCCTACAGCAGAGTGGTTATGGTGGCCTTAGCCTAAGGTGGGATGTAGGACTAGGAGTCTCTTCGAACCGGAAACTCGAACAATCTCCAAGACTAGATTCTGGAAGCTTCTCAGGACTTCAAGAAGTGCGACTTCTCGCTGATGTCGGTGCTCCGGCTCAGTATGTCAGTATCAATTCCGGTGCGGTTTAAGCTAGGGTGTGGGACAAGAATAAGCAGGATTGAAGTTTTGCTGCAGGGGCCCGATGCAAGGCGCAGCACATGTACAAGATGGGAATGCTTTGGGGGGTATAGGGAACCCAAAAACCCGCAACCCTGGACCACAGGGAAGCTCATTCCCCAAACCGGCCAACTTCGACCCGACCTCTGGACCGAAACCCACAACCCTAAGAGCCTGAAGCCCTAAAGCCCTAAAGCCCTGTCCCTTAAACCTTCGTAGAACCCAAAGAAATCCCTCGAAGCAGCCCTAAACCCTAAACCCTAAACCCTAAACCCTAAACCCTATAAAGCCCCAAAGGCCCCACACCCTTTGCCGCTGAGGATTACCGGGAAGCAGAAAGGCAAAAGCGACTGAACCGAACCAAGGAAGAGAAGGACGGCTAGAAGGTTAAGGCTTTTGGGGCTTAAAGGCATTTCGGTTTTTTGATTCACGGTTTCCAAAATTTGGGGTTGAAGGGTATAGCTATAGGATCCGTACAAGTTTGAGCCTTTTGGGGCTTAACTGTTTTTCGGGTTTAGGGTTTCAGGCTTTGGGGCTTACTAAGGCTTTCGGTTCATGTATGAGGTACCTGGCAACTCCCAAACCCATACATTAAACAAACAGCTTGTCAAACCATCCCCTTTGAGGAATGTTTATGTTTAGGGGCTTGCTGGTCTCCTGCGTCATCGGATGATCAAGGTTATGTTGAGGCTGCAGAAACATACTTATAGGTGAGTTCGGGGTAGCGGGAGCGGAACCAAAGATTTGCGGCTGAGGGTACTTGTTCGGTTTGGGCTGTGCAATTCATAATGTATTCTTTCGGGGGATGGGGAGTTTCAAGGGAACGCCAGTCCCCTCTTAAATGTTCGAAAGCGTTGTTCTGGTTCCCAGGAGGCAGAGAAGGCCAAGAATGCGAAGGAGACTGAATGGCTCTGTGGCAAGGTGTAGGGTTTAGGGATTTTGGGGTTTAGGGTTAAGGCGTGTCCATGTAAGCTTAAGGTTCCATGCAGAATCTGTAGGGCCACAATATGGACTCCATGGTTAACTACTCGGACCCATTACCCCAAACACTTGTTCACCCTTGCGTCCCCTTGAAAGCCTTAGCCATCACAGCCCCAGCACTGTAGAGGATCTGGTCGAGGCCCTCTCGCATTGACAAGCTGGCTGGTCTTGTTCTTCAATGATTCAAAAGAGTATACAGGCAGAAAAGCGTCGATAACGTCAACGTTCTTGGAAGATAGGGGGAGGTGGAGTCGTTGAAGAAAGTGTGATCAGGAGAGGGGTCAAGTGCAACGGTGTGGGCTTTGCTATGCGAGTAGTAATGGGGGTCAAGCGAATCTGTGAAAGTTGTCCGGACAACCTCAACTGAGGCAACCCTAAACCTTCTCAAGTCAGGTTCAGCTATGCCATTGTCAATGGCGTGCGCGAGAAGTTGGGCAACTACAAGCTGGAGCCGACACTTGGCGCGTTCGCTTAGAGGAGTTTAGGGCTCATGGTTCAGGATGTATTTCAAGATTTAGGGTTTAGGGTTTAGGGTTCCTGAAGCCCTCGTGGGACCCACAGATGCGGGCTCTAAGCCTGCAAGCCCTACAGTAACCTCGACGCCAGCCCGAAACCCGAGATGCCGAATTCCTAAACCCAAAACCCCAGATCCCGAGGCCTGAATGCCAAAGGCATAGGTCCCTGGACCCTCAATCTTCGCCGTTCCTTACACTTGGAGGGTCGGGTGACTTAGCAAACAGTTTCTCATTAGGGTCATCAAGTAGGATGCCAGGAAATAGGGTTCAGTTCCTCCGAGAATCCATGTAGGCTTTTCGCCCCCCCGCCCCCCGCCCTCCCACGTTGAGAATCCTCAAGCCTTCAACTGCAAACCTCAGCCACCACCAAAACCTCCACCTGAAACCCGGGAATAGATTACGGTGGCGGGGCCCAGAAGCATGTTTGCAATTTATAGAGTCTCCTAGTTTAGCTACTTCGACAGGCAGAGAGATTGATTCCAAGATGGATGGATATATATATATATATATGTATGTATAGACAGAGCGACAGAGATAGGTAGCTAGATGGATATGTTGCACGGCTGAAGCAGAGCATATCATCAAAGTAGCATGGAACCCACCATTGTAAAACATCGCTGCACTGCCCCGGCATATCTCCTGAACGCCCGCGCAAGTCCGCAACCTTCAACCGGAGAAGCACTGAACCATTAGATGACAATACGCTCCACAATGCCTAACCGCTGCAGCGCTGCCCCCAACCCCTTTCCCCACGTATATCCGAATGCCTTTTAAACATAAAGGGGATTTTCTGACATGCCCGTAAAACCCTAGACGCTCACGGCTTCCCACCACCCGAGGCCGCAGCTCTTCCGTGGCCGTGGCGAGCATCCGAAACAAGGCCTCGTGGCTGTGAGGGCTTTGCTTTTCAGGGATTAAGGTTAAGGTTTACTGTTTGGAGTTGAGACTTCGGTTGCAAAGGCTGGTTAAAATTATTTCTTGGAGTTTAGAGTTCGGTTGTTTTGCAAACGCTTAGCTTAGAGGCTGGTGGCCTGGTGCTGGATGCTTGTACATGACGTTGCTGACACTGACAGTGGTGACATCGAGGAGGAGAATGATGACGACGATGATGATAACGATGGTGACTGTGGGCATTTTGATTGCAGAGAGCATGGTTCGTTAAATTGCCGGTTGATTTGAGTGTTGCTTATTGGTGTATGCTTTATCATGTTTAGCCGGGGTTGAGGATGGTAGCTGTGTGTTTGAGACAATTTAGGGCTTTGAGTTTGGGGTTTTGTCATGTGAGGTTTGGGGAATTCTGGCTACGCTGCGGGGTACGCGCGTAAAGTGTTAAAAGCCCTTCCTGGTCATGCCCTACGGATTCCCGCAGCCAGCACACCAACAAGGAGACATGCAGACCCTTCCCTGGTGCTTCCCGGAAACGGTTCTGTCTAGGCCCATCACCTCAATCCGAAGTGTGCGAGCAGTTAGGACCATGTGCCGCCAGGCCTGCTCAAGAAGCGGACGTTCCCGGAGAGCGTCACGCTCAACATCGGGGAGACGGCATGTGTACCCAAGGCCAGGCTTGAATCCTCAAACCTCAGCTCTAAGTCCTGAGCTCGCCCTCTCTGTGTAAGCCTATTGTCTGGATATTTCTGGTGCTGAGGAGTTTACCTGCGTCTTTGTTTTCCTTTGTGCGGTTTGCCTCAGGCGCAGAGGTTTTGGGGATAAAGGTTTAGGCAATTTGGAACCCTAAACCCCAAACCCTAGGTAATCCCTAAACCCTAAACCTGTCAAAGCCTCACATCTCGTGGGTGCTGATGGTCAGTTGGTGTTCAGAGTTTAGTGTAGCTTTTGGCGGGCTGAAGGGTGGGGACTGAACGATGAGGAGGTTCACAGTTGTCGGATTTCGGAATTTGGGTCTTGGGTTTCTTGTTCAGGCTGGACTATAGATTTACTTATAGTCTCCATTGTAGTTCCTTTTTGGGGTTACCTTTTTAAGATCCTCAATCTAAAATTCGTTAAACCAAAAAAAGGAACTGCAATGGAGACTCTAGGTAAGATCGTTGGCTTTGGAGTCAGGCTTGCGTGAACTTGGGAGCCTCTCGTCAGTCAAATCTGGGGCATCTGAAGGCTGCACGCAGGGTGCGATGAAAGGCACGGGGTGAGCATGCAAGCGACGACCATGAAGCAAGAAAGGATACCAGGCTACCACGCCCCTGCAGCCGGAACACCGAGCCATGTCGGGCAGTCCTAAACTAAAGAGACCTTGAGGTTTGAAGAAGCCTTCTAAGGCTGCAAACCCCAAGCCCTAAACTCTGAACTGTGAGGGGGTTGGGGGATCAAGCTCTGTCAATGTGTCCAGCCCGACATCCCCTGAACCCTAATTAAGCCCTACAAGGCCTGCAAGCCTATAAGCCCCATAAACCCCACAAGCCCTAGTCTGCATAAACCTCAAACTTCCTAAACCTTCGGGCCAATAGGAATTCAGGCTCCATTGGTCACAGGGTTTCGCTTTGCGCTGGCCAGGTGGTCGGGATGCCTGGCCACGCCTGGAGGGACGTAGTGCACGAGAATACAGTCCAGTGGTGCCTTGTTCTGCATCCCTTTACAAAAGGGTTCGTTTGCGGGCTTAGGGTTTGGGGTTGAGCCTTAACAGGATTCCTTATGGGCTTCGGGTTTAAGGCTTTAGGGTTTTTGAAGTTTAGGACCTGAAGGGCTTTGCAATGGGATTTAGGGTTTTAGGGATTTAGGGCTTAAGGGCTCCTGAACACGAGCGCTCGGATAGTCAAGCTCGGGTACTGGCAGGGCTTGGTACCGTAGGCTTTTGCTGAAGTCAAACCGAAGCTGTGAGTAGCACCGCTAGGCTCACAGGGTATGTTTTGGGTTTCTTTGCGAAGCGAAGAGTTCGAAGAATTGTCGTCAATGCTCCCATTCAGGCCATTCCGCAAGACTTGAGCAAAGCGAACCCGAACTCTGCAGCAGGCTTAGAGTATGGAGCTTGTGGGATTAACGGTTTAGGGTTTAGGGTTTAGGGTTTAGGGTTTAGGGTTGGGTTGCATGCCACACCAAAACTACGGTTGGAGTCTTAAAGCTCCAGAAGCTCCCAACAGAAACGTGTAATATGTGTTTGCTCCTCAGTCCTACCTCTACCTCTATCCGCAAACCCTACAAAAACTAGCATGTTCGGACCCACAGAACTATAGTACATATATATATATATATAGCTTATGTAACTTTATATAACCCTTTGCAAACAATAGGCTATTGGATCGGCAGCTAAGCTTTAGAAGCAGCAACCCATGAGTTTCCTTAGAAAACCCTGTCTGAACCTACCAGAACTTACTTCTTTTGTAGGGTCCGTATAGATCCTATGCCAAGGTTCATAATAAGAACCTACAACATCAAAGTACTCGTAGGTTATGGTAGGCTAGTGCATATAAACCCTAAAAGCTCAAAGCCCGAGGATCGCCAATTTTGAGGACGGCCTTCTGACCGAAGCAAAATACGCAACCAGCTCGCAACTTAAGATAGCCGTGGTTCCTTAGCATGTCTTGAAGGGTGTTTAGGGTGTAGGGCAGCTTCAAGTAACTGTAGTTTCTCAGTATTTCGTAGGGTTTAGGGTTTATAGGGCTTGGAGTTTAAGGCAGCTTCAGGTGACGATGGGGTCTTTGTCGTTGGGCAGGGAACCCTTAACATCTTCAGGTTGGTACAATCCCACGACAACAAGAAAGTTGACCTCCCCGCGGCCAGGGATGATAGGGATACTATCAGTTACCATAAACTCATAGACGCCGGAATATCTACCAGCATTATTCCGAGCATGGGTATACCTGTACCTCAATTCCCTATTCACCTGGGGTTCGCCGGTTTTTGCAGTTTCAGGCTTCGAGTTGCAGGAGCCGCTAGAGGATCCAGGGTCCGCGGCTTGGGTTTAAGATTTCAAGTAGTCGGGTTTAGGAGAACTGTTTCTTGAAGCCCTGAACCCTACCTGAAGGCCTCAATCTCTTTCAGCTTTAAGGAACCATCGAAGGCAATCGTAACAAGGAGCCCTAAAAAGGTAGGCCCTAAACCCTAAACCCTAAACCCTAAACCCTAAATCTCACTGCACCCTGGAAGCCCCGGCCCTGACGTGCCTCCAACCCAGGATTACGGCACGGTGCCAGCTTTCCAGGATTCGGCAACTTCGCCCCTCCTTTTCTGGAAAACCCTAGAAGATCCTGAACCCCAAAAAGATCCTAAACCCTTATAAAGATCCGAAGCCCGAAAAGCTCCTAAAGCCTAAGAGATCCCAAACCCTAAACCCTGAAAAGACCCCAGAACCGAGAACGTTTCAACTTCTAGGTCCCTCTACTCGGACGTGAGATCCGAAGCCCTCTGTACTATGCTGCCCCCCCAAAAAAAAACCCTAAACCCTAAACCCCAAAAACCCTAAACCTTAAACCCTAAACCCTAAACCCTATCATTCCAGCCTTAAGCCGCCAAGCGCTACAGTCGAAGCCCTGAAGTCCCCCTAAGCCCGAAACCCTGAAACAACAACCCTGGGCTTAGGGTTTAGTAAGGGTCTAAACTCTAAACCCTGAACCCTAAACTCTGAACCCTAAACCCTGAACCCTAAACCCTAAACCCTGGGACTTGCTGCAACCTTCTGAGGTCAGTTTCGCGGCTACCAGCGGCTTGAAGGGGCAGCCGGCGCCTAGTCCTTCTATCGGGGCCCTAGGCGGGTTTAGGGTTTAGGTTTTTGTTGAGTTCAGGGTTTAGGGTTCAGGTTTTTTTGAGTTTAGGGTTTAGGGTTTAGGTTTTTTTGAGTTTAGGGTTCAATCGTGGTAGTCGCAATGGTAACCATAGAGATACTTCATGGATCAACAACTAATGCGAGGGGGTCGGCCTTTGGCTTGAGATTCGGGTCTTTCGAGCCTTTGCGGGAGGATGTCGCTCTGCTGTGTCGCTGTGAGCTTCGTTTTGGGATTTTGGGTCTGGGGCTTAGGGTTTAGGGTTTCGTTGTGGGCTTCTTTCATCTGGAGGCAGTGGATACGATCGCAATTTTCAGGTTGTGGGATTCAAGGGTGTCTAGGCCTCCAATGAAATGCAACTTCTACGGGGAATCATGTTGAGAACTCAGGATATGCTGAAGTACGATCGCGCCAAGCGCTTGGTGCGAATCATTGGTGGCCTGGCGGACGGATTGATGGCCCAATTGCTGTTTCAGGGCCATGTTGTGGTGATTCAATGAGATGTCCCTGAAGCCCCACATCTGCTCCAAACACTAAGCCACTAAGCCTTAAACCACTATTTCGGATGTTCCTGCCCGGTGAGTGCAGCCCTTATGGTCCCGTTGCGTTGAGCCTTCACCTGTAAACCTGAAGCATATGACAGAGCAGCTTGAGAGACTTTTCTGGGTTTGGGCCTGAGATTCTTGGGCAGTGGTGTCTTTGGTGTGCTAGGGTTGATGATATAAATCCTGCATTACCCAGAATGAGGAATACACCATGATGTGTTTCCGTTGGCTGCGACCTTAGCTGCGATTAAGCCTCAGGCAGTATCCGCACCTCCTATGAGAAGATGTGGACGAGCAGGAACGTTGCAGATCGGCAGAAGGCCAGGTTTCAGGGTTTGAGGGGGGGCGGGGGTGGGGGTTATCAAGTAGAGTTGCCAGTCCTCGGGTTATTGATGTGGCCTCAGCTGTTGGAGTAAGGCTAAATGCTGGACCCCTACCCTAAGCCCTAGAAGGACCCTGTCATCTACGAACGCCGTTCCTGCAAATAATCCTGCGCTGGTCTACGTAACTTCGTGCTAGGTAGGGCTGGTACAGTCTATCTGCACACACAAGTGTTGTTGTGCCAGCTGAAATCTAGACTTTCATTCCAGAGCGAACATAGCCACGTGTCCGCCTGCACGTCGCGCTTACATGTTATGCTGAGTTCCATCCCCAAGCCCAGTTTTTTTAAGCATGCAGTCATTGTGCACATCTGACCTGATTGTGCACATCTGCCCTGATTCTACTTTTCATTTCACATGGACACGAGTCTAATTTGTTCCTGCCCTAAAACCCCTCCGCTAAACCCTAAGCCTTAAACCCCCTAAACCCGGAACCGTAAACCCAAAACCCTAAACCCGAAGCCCAAAAGGCCACGGCGACCTACTTCATCGACAAGCTCGCACTGCGAGTTGGCGGCGAGAAGGCCGGCAGTCTCAAGCTCCTCCGGGATAATGTAGGTAGGGTTTAGGGTTTAGGGTTTCGGGTTTAGGGTTTAGTGTTTAGGGTTTAGGGGTTTGGGTTTAGGGTTTAGGGTTTAGGGTTTAGGGTAGTGTAGGGGCCTTAATAATTAGAATAGGGTTTTGGGGGGGTACAGTATACAATAATTAATTATGATCAGGAACCCCAAAATAGTAAAGGTAGTTATTAAGGCCCCTATATTACCCCGAGTCCCCGAGCTCTAGTTTTTCAATTTTGGGTGTCAGGGGATTTATGTTTGGGTTTTAGGGTTTAAGGGGATTTAAGTTTTTAGGGTTTGGGGCTTAAGGGGATTGAAGTTTTAGGGTTTAGGGTTTGGGGCTTAAGGGGAGTCAAGTTTAGGGTTTATCGGGGTTCAGGGTTGAGGGTGGCTTAGGGTTGCTAGGCATGCTAGTGGTAGCTTTGGATGCTGCATTGGGGCAGCTGAAACTTGTTTCCCTTGCCCATAAACCTTCACTTGGGCAGGTCTCTTTGTTGGTGGCTTTGAGATTAACAGGAATGCTATCCATTTCGGTCGCTGGATCTTTGGGTGGTGCATGTGGAGTGCAAGAATCTTGTTTAGGTGCTCGGTTTTGGACACCCCCCCCAATATGCCTGGTACCTATGAATACAGTCTTGAGGCGGACACACTACCGTGCAGAAGGCAGGCTGAATTTTAACATCGATGTCATTAATCGGACCACCCATGTGTCGGAGTTCCCAGAGGTCAAAACCCTTGTACCAAGCACTGAACGCCCTAAACCCGATCCCAAGACTCCTGCAAATTAAACTCTGAGCCCCCTTCCACTATGAGTCTCACACTTTAAACCATGAAAGCGCCAGGATACAGAGGAGGAGGCCGATACCGTGGGCTGCTGCTCTCTGCGCGTAGAGCATCTGCCGCTCTTCTGATCTGGGTTCAGGTCTATGCCTAATATAAGGGCCCCAAGAATTGCCTATACTGTTTAGGGGGTTCCTTATTATAGTTGTACTATAACATACCCCAAAACCCCCTTCAAATTATTAAGGCCCCTACATTAGTGTTTGCAGGTTTCGAGCGTGGAATGTTTGAGATCGAGACTGGGGTTCCAGGCCCTAAGCCTCAAACGACGGTTTGGGGCAACAGCTGCACTTGGTGTTAGCTTATGTTGCTTGGAGCCGACGGATTTCTATGTGTGGCTCTGGTTTGTGTCACATCCTTTCTGGTGAACCAACTGACTGGCCTTTGGACTATTTTTTTCTCGGATTTGTTGTTGGGGGGTGGTCCGGCCAGCAGCTGCTCAAAAACAGCCTTTTTGTTGCATGCGGGGCTCGACGGATGTGTTACCTCCCTCTAATGACGCCGCCGAGTCATGAGCTCGCGGCAGTTTGCGCATCCACAGCTGCAGCGCCAAGACCCCAAATACCTGGCATGTTGCCCTTGTTTCCCCAACCCAAGACCCAACAAGCCTACGAGTCTTGAAGCGCACAGCCCACACTGCAGCCATTTTCATGAACAGAAAAGATAGGGAGGGGGGAGGTCGTGCAATGCTTTTCAGGCAAGGCCTAAGGTGCTCGCATCACAAGGGTATCTGATGCACAGGTCTGTTTTGTAGTTCGTAGCTGTATCCACTGATTCTGATTCTAGTCCCCGTAGTTATGGTGCTATGTCCTTCTAACCCTACTCTACTTACTGTTAATTTATCATCATCATCATCATCATGATTAAGGCCCCTATGGGGGTGTCATCAAAGATCCGGGTCTTAGGTTTGGTTTGATGTACAGTTGCTTGCTCTGATGTGCGGAGCTTTAGAGCTGGTGGTTACAGGGTCTTGTAAGAGTGGTTCCGTACAAGCTTTTCAGGAATTTCGCATGCAGGTTGCAGTCCAAGCGGCTTGTATGGCTTCCTTACCATCACCTAGTCACTGCCGGACCACCCGATGACCCCTAATGATTTTAATGAACATCCATGAATGAAGTCAAGAAAATCAAAGGAATCATGAAAAGGGCAGTGGTAGTTAACACTCAGCAAGCCTTCACATGAATGGTGGCTCTTCCAACACGAGAAATCCTTCTGAAGCTTTTTCGCAAACAGCAATCAGTTCAACTCCTGTTCAACAGCTAATCAGGGCACAAAAAAGTGGTCCTGCTTCAATTCTAACCAGTGACCCGCAAAGCCTACAGGGTTAATCCAATTGCATGAAGCCCCCTAGAAGAGCCTAAAAACTGTCTCTTAAGTTTCGGGCTTAGACATCTCCCCACACCCTTGTCTTAGCTGCCCTCGAAGGGTAGTTATCGATTTTGGGTGTACTGCTAAGGTCTTATGGTAGGGTCCTGGAGTAGCGGAGTTCGGTAGGGGCTTAGAGTTCATGGCGACAGGAAGCTTACGCCGCCGCAGACCATCCACCTCGACTTCCTGGGTAAGGATCTCGTAACTCTTTCTTGACTATGCGGATGAGTTTAGTGCAGATTCTATTACCACTACTGCTGACACCAGTGGAAGGATGGAGTTATATACATAGGGAGCTGTAAGAGCTGAAGTAAAGCGCTAGCACTTCTGACTCTTTGACCACAAGACCGCCTCGGACAGGGACGTCCCTAAACCCTAAACCCTGAAGCCCAAAACCCCAAACCCTAAAACCCTAAAACCCTAAAACCCTAAACCCTAAACCCTAAACCCCAAACCATCACTTCGCAGGATTCCATCCGGTACACGAACAGCGTCGAAGTGGCCAAGCAGGCGAGGGATGCGCCACCAGTAGATGGAGCTTGGATCGCTTGGCTTCATGCAGGGTTCTGCTAGAGGCGACCAAATCCCTGAACTCCAAACGCGAAGCCTTGAGATACTCTAGAGCTGTAAAGGATCCAAAGGGCCCCATGCATTCAAACCCTCAGGATTCTGCCTACATGTATAGGGGACACTTGCCCAACTACAGTAGTAGCACTTCCTAAGACAGAAATCCTAGTTTCTACTTTCTAGGTACTTAGGAACCTTTTGGGAACCTCGAGCTAACTTCGCAGGTCTTCGACAATGTTCAAGGCTTCATCAAGGGCAAGAAGCTTCACAGCCGCACAAAGAGTCCAGGCTTCCGGACATACGCCCAAAACCGCAGAACCCACCCACGTCCTGAGTCCTAAGTGTCCCGACAAAAGCTTCCCTATCCTAAATCCTGATCTTTGCCAGCCATGTTCCTGATTTACCCATGATGCAATGATTGTATAAACCGGAGTGGAATATCTACCTTAGTTCGGGTGCTCACGATGTACCTTGCCCATCAAGACCAGTATAGAAGCCTGAGTAACTACAAAATCCTTTCCACAGGCTTCCTAACTCTATAAGCTCCAACAATGAAGGCCCCTATATAATCTTAGCTCATAGCCCTGAGCCCTAAACCCTAAACCCTAAACCCTAAACCCTAAACCCTAAGCCCTATCTTCATGGCCCTCGCCGCAGGCCCCGTAGAACCAAGGCTTCCAACAGAAACATCAGAGGTTCCTTGTGTCCCTAAGGGTCCATGTGCCCAAATAGATATACTTTGGCCTAGTCCCTATATAAGTACTTTGGGACCAATGTATATACTATTTGGGTACATGGACCCTCAGGGTGTGTTAGGGTTTAGGGCTTAGGGGTTTCAGGGTTTACTTTTTAGGCTTTGGGGGTTTCAGGGTTTAGGGTTTGGGGGTTTCAGGGTTTAGGGTTTGGGCGTTTAGGGTTTAGGCTTTCTTTCTGGTCGAATCCCCGTACCGATTTGGGGTAGTTCTCTGCATCAAGGTCCCTGTTGGGGTCGTTGTTGTTGATAAGAGTGCCGTAGTATTTTGGGGACCTAATAACTTAGCAAGTAGGTCACAAGTATACAGGCTTGACGTAAGCCCAGGGATGGTCTTTCTAGCGTCACTTCCCGGCTGATTTCCCTGAGACTTTAAGTTCCAAGGCAGGAAGAGCAGGTCTTCGACAAGATCTCGCCCGCAGATTTGAATGTACCTGGGCCAAACAGGGGCTGCAACCGCTGAAACTCCTAAGCCCATATATCCTAAACCTAAACCCCCAAACCCCTGAACCCTAAACCCTAGGCTCCTCCTTAACCCCAAAGCCCTAAAGGTACAAATAGCCTGGGCCCTCAACCCCAAACGAAGCAATGATTTCGTTTGGAGAAGCTGGTGGCTCTGCTGTTTTTGAACTGGTCCAAGTAGAGCTTCTTCGCTGCGGACACTCTGAAGCATGCTTCTCTGCTTCTGAATCAGGAATACTTCAAGAATTTCATGGAAGATCTGTCTGCGAAAGTCTTCCGTACCTACAACGCCTCGTACACTTTGCAGATGCTCAGCTGCAGAGATTTACACTGCGGCTTGGAAATAGGTAATCTCATGATTCGCAAGTCCAGTAGATATTACAAGGGCAGTGCATGCGACGCCTTCACCTGTACTGCATGGTTATATGCGAGAGCCCCTAAACCCTAAACCTAAAACCCCCGAGAAGCAGGGACCTTGGCAGGATGTTCTTGTTTAGAGTAGATGAGGTGCCAGTAGCACAGGGGCCTTGATCATTTGACTAGGGCTTGGGGAGAATATCATACTACAGGTATACTGGGTCATAAGGATAGTAGTACTGACATGTTGAGGCCCTTACAGTACCAGAACCCGTTTATGGTTCCTTAAGGAACGATGACGCTGATAAATACCCGGCCTTTAAAACTGGACTTCGTCTTTGTGCAGCCAGCAACAAGGAACAGCTGCCTAGTTCGACAAGGGGCGGTGGATCAGACAATCCACACGATGGCAACATTTAAAACCAAAGGTTGAACACCTATACAGGCTACAGTGGTCAACCTGAACTACTCCATGACCCAGTTCTTTGACTGTTCTATCTGCGAAGCCATGAAGCTTTTCCACAACTCCATGTCCGCATGTTGTGAAGATAGAGCTTAGACCCGTAAGCCCTAAACCTAAACCGAAGTTTAAGCCATAGCTTGTGGCGAAAGTATACCCAGTCGCCTGCGGAATCGTCGCGAGAGTATACTTACTTGACCAGTTGAAGGTTCCAAGGTTGACGCTATACGTCGTGCACGAGCTACAGAAACCAAGCTGTGAACTATGTATGTATGTATGCATGTATGTATGTATGTATGCATGGATGTATGTTTGAATGCATGTATGTATGTATGTAT